GCCTCAGCCTCTTAAGTAGCTGGGACTACAGGCACCCGCCACAACACCCAGCTATTTTTTGGTTGTAGTTGTCATTGTTGTTTGGCAGGCCTGGGCCAGATTTGAACTTGCCAGCTCTGGTGTATGTGGCTGGTGCCTTAGCCACTTGAGCTACAGGCACCACCAGAGTATATGCAGTTTAATTTTGGTAGATATTACCAAACTAGGCAATCCAGCTTTTTCTTACAAAGACTGGTACTACATATTTACCCAGATATTAATAATTACCATACATTGTAGAATGAATTAGAATACAAAGGAAAGAATCTTCCTTATAATTTGACCAGTGATAACTGATAATGAGTGGATACATTTTTATCTCCCAAAATTTGTATCAATGTTTTTTGATTTTTTTGAGACAGTTTCATTTTGTCACCCTCAGTAGAGTGCCCTGGTGTCATAGCTTGCAGCAACCTCAAACTCTTAGGCTCAAGCAATTCTCTTGCCTCAGCCTCCCAAATAGCTGGGACTGTAGGCACCAGCTGGCCACAACACTCAGCTATTTTTAGAGATGGGGTCTTTCTTTGTTGCTGGTCTTGACCCCGTGAGCTTGGGCAGTCCATTGGCCTCAGCCTCCCAGGGTGCTCGGATTACAAGTGTGAGCCACCATGTCCGACTGCTTCTATCTTTTTTTAAAGTCATATAGTAGTACTTGGTTGGTAAAGTATCAAAATCTTTTTATTACTGCCTATATTCTTTCATTACTGCCAAATTTCTTTCCTTAAACATTTCCACAAATAACTATTTTTTTCTTTTTTGCAGTTTTTGGCTGGAGCCGGGTTTGAGCCAGCGCCCTACTCCTTTGAGTCACAGGCACCGCCCTCCACAAATAACTTTTATTAGCATACCTATTAACCCACATTGCTTATGTTTAACTTTCTAACCTCTTAACCTCTACCAGCCCAGTAGGCAAAAGGTGGTTGTTTTAATTTGCATTTCCTTAATGAGATAAACCTTTTTTCAGATTTACTATTATCTTGAATTGCTTGGACTATCCCTCTATCCATTTTTTCCCCAGTAATACTTCTTGCAGGAATTTTTTTCCTTTATTTCAGGAAATTACAACTGTGCCCTGTACCCAGTAGGTATGAATTAACCCATTCCCTCTCCCAAGAACTTTATAAATTTAAACCTTTACATTTATCACTAAAATTTACCTGCTACAAAAGCTGAACAAGTGCTTGAGTTTATCTATTCAATCTGTTTTTTAAAACGTCTTCTGTAAAAACCCCATCCAAGTTTGAAAATGGTGGAAATTCTATCCTTGGTCTCTGAGATATGGATAGCCAAATTCTCTGGTAACTACTAGGTTAAAAAGTATTTATACTGGGTGGTACCTGTGGCTTAATGGGGTAGGGCACCAGCCCCATATGCTGGAGGTGGCGGGTTCAAACCCAGCCCCAGCCAAAAACTGCAAAAAAAAAAAAAAAAGAAAATATTTATATTTTTAGGGTGGTGCCTGTGGCTCAGTGAATAGGGTGGTGGCCCCATATATCAAGAGTGGCAGGTTCAAACCCGTCCAAACTGCAACAACAAAAAAATAGCTGGGCCTTGTGGCGGGTACCTGTAGTCCCAGAGGCAAGAGTATGACCTAAGCCCAAGAGTTGGAGGTTGCTGTGATGCCATGGCACTCTATTGAGGGCAACAGGGTGAGAATCTATCTCTAAATACTATTTTTTTTTTTAAAGTTCCTCAGAAATGCCAAGGAAGATACAATATTATAGCTACATACCCATAAATAAATACCGATATACCTTTCAGTTTTAACAGTTAAGTAATTTAAACCAAATTATCAGTGTTGTTTAATCTGCTTTTGTCACTGGTCATCTGAATATTAATTAGAAATTTTCTTTAAGAAAGGAACTCTGTCCTTTGCCTGTATTGGCCACATTGGTTTTGTCCCTCTACTGTATGCATTGTTTTTGGTGAATCTCTTGAGCTGTAAGATGCAGACATCAAAGTCCTCCATCTCAGTACTAAAGAATGACACTTACACTGTATTATTAAATGCAAGAAATTTAACATCAGTACAGTACTCTTATCTACACGTTTAATCTGGCCATGTTTTGCAGTTGTTCCAAAAATCGTCTTTTTTCAATCCATGTTCTAGGGAAATAAGTCCATTGTCAGGAAAGCAAGTGGTTTTTCCAATTCCAGTTGTTAAATCTGCCCTTGCCCCATTGCGAGATACTGAAAAATGCAGGAAAATGGAATTTCATATGAGTCTCAGCTTGGAGAGATAGGAGCTGTCCAGCATGTCTACTTTGGTACCTGCTGAAGGGCTGGTCATTGTTAATACCTTAATTCAATATAGGTTGTGTTGGTGAAATCACATGTATCTTCCCCTCACCTTTTCCCTCTGAAATAAAGGAAGAGGAGTTTCCAACAGATGATGCAGACAACAGTAGGACCAAGACTCCTCATCAGCAGTCACCTCATGAGTTGTCAGCAGATGTGTCTTCTGACACTGGATGGGACGATGACACAGATGATGTTTGTCTTTTAGAAGCCACTGAGGATGCTGAATTAGTTGATGCTGCAGAGAACAGTCTTCTCAGTTACAGTAGTACAGTGGATGAAATTCCTGATGAACTTATTATAGCAGTATTACAAGATTAGGTAATTAACTATGGACACGTAAATAACCAGGCTAATAATTTACCTGAAGTCTGTGAGGTTTGAGTAAACAGACAATTATATTTATTGTTATGCTGTTTGTATCAAGTTGTATCACTTTAATTTTTTTTTATTTAAGTAAACCAGTTTTACTGAAAATTAACCTTGGTGTACTTAAATTCATTAGGAATCTTAATTAATCAAAATTAGTTTTTGTTCATGAATCGACTTAATTTTATAAGTTTATGTACAGGTTAAAACTCTTCTGTGTGAGGGCTGGGTTGATGGATGTCAGCATTTTAAACTTTGTTACTCAAGACTGACCAGATTATTATGGCCTTTAAAGCCATGAGACTCTCAGTTTACAGTCATTTAATTTGGACAAATATATTAAATGCTGGTGACTATGCAATACTGGTAACCTTACACAGGCACACTTTGGGAGACTGGTCTTCTCATTCCTGGTCAAGGAGCTTCTCTAATTGAAGGTTGATATTTTGGAGATGAGTTTCAGCTCCCAAAATGGTTCTTGCATTAAATAACAGAGCTGGAAGGCTGGATGAGTCATACTGTTGAAAGAATTTATTTAGATTAACAAAAAGTTTTATAACCCAACCTTGCATTGCTTAGTCTTATGACTAATGCCTATTTTTTGTTTTTTAAACTAGGACCATTAACTGGCTTTTATTCTTTTCTTTAGGACATAATTGATGATAGAGTTGGAAAGGAACTGTCAGCAGAGTTTAAACTGATCTCATTCTGGTCAATAAATTATTTAAAAATAAAAATTATTAAATTATTTAAAATAAAATTGTGCCTGGAACAGGTGAAGGCTTGGTTTGGGCTGTGTGGGGTCTGCTTGATCATGTGTCTATTTTAAAATACAAAAAACTGTGAGTTCTACTTTCATACCAGGCCTATAAAACATCAATCATCTAGAAAAACTATTTTGGGGGAGGATTAATTAAATTCAAGGTTGCCAATCCAAAGGCAAAATCGGAATTCAAACCCAACAAAAAAGTAGAAGGAAGGCACAATCCAACTCAAGATTTTGAAACAAAGCCAAATTTCCTACTTGCACCTGAGTGATTACATCTCCTTTCAGAATTTTATGTTTCACACTGTGCTGTTTAATCACGTCTACAGGGTGGTTTTATGAGTGATGAAAACTAAGCAAAAAAACCTGTCAAATTGTGGCTGCCACCAACATACTAGTGGGATTTTTTCAGGGATAAAGCTTACTTAAGTGTTACTATAGAATGTAACTTAAATACTTGGCGGCCTGATGTCTAAGATGCTGTGGGCATCTGCTCTCAGGCAGGGGAAGAACTCAGATTTGGTGCGAGATGTTTGTTTAGCTTAGGAAAAGAGGTGGGACATCTGCCCAAACACCTACATGCTGTGAGGCACAGGAACAGAGGCTACTACAAAAGTACAAGAAGCTACTGAGGCCTTTAAAGAACAGGACACCGTAGGAGTAGGGTATCCCAAGTAAGGTGGAGTCACTCCGCGTTTTAACCTAAGTGATTATGCTCAAGTTGAATTAATGCTACTATTAGTTTCTCCAAATTTATTAACCAAATCATCAACTCTGAATAAAAAATAAGACTAGTGAAATACCAAAAAACAAAAACAGATTCTATTTCCCTATCTATAATATAAACCTTAGACACAGATGAGTGTCAAATTCTTAAAATTGAATTCAGAAGAATACAAATCTGATAACACAGATGTATACATTATATATAAATAGGAAATTAGGGTATAGAAATGTAAACTTTTTTTCCTCTACCTTAAACACCTCTATTAGTCTTTGCTGGATAGCCTGCAGTAAAAATCCAGAAGCAACTACAAAATCTGTTGAAACAATACGATACCACGTATTTCCTTCTATATGCTTTTTTATGCTTCTAAACTTGTAAAATCACACCATTTATGTGGGATAATGCCTTGTTTTTCAGATACAAAAGATGCTGTGAACAAGGTCTAGGTGAAGAACAAAAAGAGGTCTCTTCCAAACAAGTCTGAGTGGTCTCAGGTTGAGAACTGTATCAAAGCAGTGTCCTGTCAATTGGGGGGGTTATACAGATTTGTAGATGAAATCCAGTTCTCTGAAGTGTTAATACCCTAAGGAAAAAAAAAATCAGTGATTCTGGATTTTCCTACTCCTCCAGCCTTCACTGAGTAGCTAAGAGAAGTGACGCTGTAACAAACCTTCCCTGCCCCACAGTGACATGGCGCCTGCATTTACCTTCCTTAAGCCTCCTGGGACTAGATGCCCTTGGTCCCCCTGAAGCACAGTAAACAGTGAAAATCAGACTTACCGTTTCCTTTGCTTCTGGTTCTTTCTCTTGAATATCTGAATAGTCTCTATAGAGCTGTTTTAAATTAGATAAGAAATATGCTGCACTTCTAAGGGAAGACTTTCTCTCCTTAAGCTCAGTGTATCTTGTTTGTAGTTGTCTCAGTTCTGGCTTTAACCTAAAGACAAAAATAAATATGTTTCCAAAAATAAATGACATGTAATGAAGTCTAAGGCCAACAGCTGATGAGGCCAAGGATGCTACCATGCTGAGTGAAGCATCAACACCAGGGCAGGGAGACTGGATGGTTTATCTTTGGCTCTGAAATGTGATGTCCAAAGAATAATGAGCAGTGACATCCACAGAAAAACATGCATTGTGTGTGCTACAAGGGGTCTGGGGAAGCACTGAGTTAAAACATATGATTGCCTAACATGTTAGAAGGCTCTGCAGGTGTAGGTGGGCACTGCTGTCTAACACGGAAACCAGGGACAAAAGGGTTTCCCTGTGCACCTTCCTCTGAGCACAATCTTCTCCACTGTCCAGTCAAAAAAACCAGTGAGATGCTCACAGTACCTGATGTAAAATGCATGATCTGGGCAAACTGATGAAATAAGTGGAAAGTGGATTTGATGGGCCAATAAGAAGAGGATGACAACAACTAAGTCCTTTCTGACTGAACAAACTTAGCACTCAAAAAAACTCCCAGCTGAGCTGGCAGGGCTCGGGTCAGAATGGGGGGATCAGTCAGCCGATAGCCCATCCAGGCTCTCCCTGACCTTGGGGTGAAACTGTAGTTAAGTTACTTCCCTGGGCCTTAGGTTTTTCATGTAACATTAAAATAATGACATACCACACTTTTTCCTATTATGCTTTTCCCAAATATACTTCTCAACTTAAGAAATTACATCTAGAAAAAGAATAAAAGTCACTTCTTAAAACATGTCCTAGTAAGTGGTCTCATACTGATGACAACTGCAACAAAGGCTGTGAAACTATAGCTTGCCTCACAGGATGAAGAATAATGGGCCTGCTTTCACACAGGACACGTGTGTTAGCTACCTTCGTCTTGTCACCTTAGTTTTCTCATTTCTGGGGCAATGGGAACCTTTTCTATGATAGGCCAGCACCTGTCTGCAAACCAGATTTGCAAACAGCAGACCAGGCACCCTCTTTCTCCCTCTTTAAACTCCACTGCCAGTTGTTCTTGTAATCCACGACTGTCTTTTCAGATAATACCTTCTCAAGCTATCTTAAAGCTCCTTAAGAGCACAAAGCACATCTGATGTTTCATTCCCTGGACTCAAAGAAAAGCACCACACAATACCACAATACCAGGCTGACGGGCAGGTGTGCTCCACAGTCTTGCCCATCACACGGCGCTGCCAGCAGGGCCTAGAGCCCTCCTGGCCTAGCCCTCAGGAAGGGGGGACCCATGTGTCATGCAACTTACAAAAAGCATTAAACCTGATACAGCACTTAGACTGTGCACTGACTCATTTAATCCACACAAAGCCCTGTGAGGTGCAGGAAGTATGAAGCCTGTATTCACAGAGGGAAAACAGGCACTGAGAGGTTAAGCAACTTGCCCAAGGTTACACAGCCAGGAAGTGGCAGAGTCTGGTTTCAAACCCAAGGTGTGGAATTCTACAGCCTATGTGCTATAACTCTAGTTATGGCTCAGCACCTGTGGCTCAAGCAGCTAAGGAGCCAGCCATACACCTGAGCTGGTGGGTTCGAATCCAGCCCGGGCCCAGGCCTGCCAAACAACAATAATGGCTGCAATCAAAAAATAGCCAGGCGTAGTGGTGGGCGACTATAGTTGCAGCTACTTGGGAGGCGGAGGCAGGAGAATCACTTGAGCCCAGGAGTTGAAGGTTGCTGTGAGTTGTGATGCCACAGCACTTTACCCAGGGTGACAGCTTGAGGCTCTGTCTCTAAATAAATAAATAAATAAAACTCTAGTTATAAGTAAGTCAAAATGAGGCTGCCTCTCAGGCCAGAGCTGAGACATCTGTTGGGAGACAGATCAGGAGGCGGCAGGACCAACCTTTATTGAGCACCCGAGCTCACAAATAACTTGGGACTTTACTGACACCACAGCAGATGCTGCCACCCCAAGTGACACAAGTAAACCTCTGTTTGCCGTTATGATGTGCACCCATGTTTTTGGCCAAAATTCCAAGGGGGGAAAACCTATTTTTATTTTTTAATTCAAAATTTGTTTATACTTAGGTACTTGTGTTTTCTATTATAAACAAATTTTAGCATTTTAATTTTTTAACATTTTATAGTACAAGAAATTTTATGTAACAAAAAATATCAGCTAGATTGCAGGCTCCTGCCTAAAGTGTACTAATGAATACATCATTCTTTTGGCCAAAAATACTTCTGTTGGAAGTCTGTCATTAAGTTCAACAGAACTGATTACTGTTCTCCAGGACATTATTCTGCATATGGATATCATTATTGCTTTCTGGATTTACCCTTTTAGCATATAAGCATAAATAAAAGAATTTAAAACATAGTATTTTAGGGTATAGAATATCTTAAATATCTCTATTAAGCCAGGCGTGGTGACTCATGCCTGTAATCCCCGCACTTGGGAGGATGAGGCAGGTAGATTGCCTGAGCTCACAAGTTCAAGAACAGCCTGAGAAAGAGTGAGATACCATCTCTTAAAAAAAAAAAATAGCCAGGCATTGTAGGAGGTGCCTGTAGTCCCAGCTACTTGGGAGCCTGAGGCAAGAGAATAGCTTGAGCCCAAGAGTTTGAGGTTGCTGTGAGCTGTGATGCCACAGGACTCTACTGAGGGTGAAAAAATGAGATCATCTCAAAAAAAAAAAAAAAAAAAAACTCAGTTAAGTTTTTGCTGGACAGCTTGCTGTAAAAATCCAGAAGCAATCACAAAATCTACAGATGTGGAATTATTACACTACCCATGTGTAATGCACATCCTTACTTACCCCCTCCCCAAGAATCTGGTCAAGAAACTGCATGTTATACATAGCAAAATATTATGGTGTACCCTTCTAGGTAAGGTCTTGAATAGGATTTTAATATAATCTTACCCAAGGAGTTCATCCTGGACTTCAACCAAACGCTGCCTTTTCTTTTCGATATCTGAAATCATCTGAACAGCACAATCATTCTTGTGTTAAATTCACTTTGTAAATATTAGCACTGCCACATACACTGTGCCAGGTATTGAAATACAGTAAGAAGCAAGACAACCCAATTCTTATCACCATGGACTGTGATCTAATGGGGAGGGCAGACACTGCTTATAAACAGTGAGTGATAAAGCTGGTGGCGGGTTCTATGAGGGAAAAGAGCAGCAGGGGCATCTACTTCAGGACAACCCTGAAGAGGAAGGGGAGACAGGTCCTCACTGGAGCCTGTGACCTGTAGGACTTGAAGTTTTATCTAGATGCACTAGGAAAATAATGCAGGAGGGCAGTGATACACTTTGTATTTTACAAAGAACGTTTCAATGTTATAAATTTTATTAACTCGGCCATCATTTTGAGTGACTACTTAATATTCACTGTTGGACACTCAGAATGTTCCCACTTCCCACTTATAAGCAATGCAGAAATGACTAGTAATATTAAAATGGAAAGAAAACAAAAATCCGAAGGTTTATAATCACTGGAAAGAAAATGTATGTATTTCAAGCCCATTTCTATGTAAATGTACAAAAGGGACTGCTTGTCTACTCCTGAACTCACTTCTGAGGTCATGGGGTCCATCCACACAGACAGGAAAGCAGGATCTGGTGCTGACCAGCTCGCCCCCACTTACACCTCATAGTGTGCGGTTTTTAAGGTGGCACAACACTGAAGCAGCAGAACCAGTCAACTAGAAACAAGGTCTCCTCACCCCCAACCCCGTACCCTTCCCAGCTGTCCTTTTACCTGGGATAGTTCTTTATTCTAAAGGATTTTGGGCCGGGTGTGGTGGCTCACACCTGTAATCCTAGCACTCTGGGAGGCTGAGATGGGTGGATTGCTTGAGCTCACAAGTTCAAAACCAGCCTGAGCAAAATTGAGACCTCATTCTACTAAAAATAGAAAAACTGAGGCAAAAGGCTTGATTGAGCCCGAGTTGGAGGTTGCTGTGAACTATGATACCATAGCACTCTGCCCAGGGTGACAGATTGAGATTCTGTCTCCAAAAAAAAAAAGGAGTGGGTTTTGCTTTTTGACATCCACAAAAGCAATAAATACACAGTACTTAATACTCATCCACATAGTTGATCACACTGAACTTGACAGACATGTTCAAGCTAACAACTTATTCAGGCTAACTTGGGGCCATTTGAAAAGGCTTAAATTTTTGTTTCAATTACAAAGTTTGTTTCAATTATAAAAACTGTAATTAGATGCTTGCATAGCTTTAAGCAACAAAGGTGACTAGGACCCCCGTTCAGTAGCAGTAGTGCTCGTCAGGTCAACTAAGTAACAACCCAACTAAAAGGATCTTTTTTCTTTTTTGAGGCAGAGCCTCAAACTGTTGCCCTGGGTAGAGTGCCATGGCGTCACAGCTCACAGCAACCTCCAACTCCTGGGCTCAAGCAAGTCTGCTATCTCCACCTCCTAAGTAGCCGGGATTATAGGCGCTCGCCACAACACCCAGTTATTTTTTGGTTGCAGCCATCATTGTTGTTTAGTGGGCCCAGGCTGGATTCGAACCTGCCAGCTCCTGACCATAGGACTTACCTTAGCATTCCTCCTTTTCAGCTTTCTTAACATGTGGGCATCTTTAAGCTATATGAAACAAAAAATAATTCACATGCATTTTCCAAAATTAAATGTGAATTAGTTTCAGATATATCACATTTAGTTTAAAACCTGTTCTGTGAAATACTCGTGTTTCTAAGACAAAGGGTGCTACCTCAGGATTAGGCAAAAATTGTTAGACCAACATATTTATGTCTAGTGAACTTACCATCTTAATGAGTTCTTCTTTAATATTAAAATAAAATTTGTTGATGGCTTCCTTACAGATTTTGGATCCTATTCTTTGTCTGTAGAATTTAAAAAGGAAAAAGTACCATAAAGGATTTTGAGAGGTGTGTTTCATGTGCTTAGTACATAACCCACACACACAATTTGGCACATGCAATTTTAAATATCTAAGGTGACAGTGGTTAGCCTGCAGCCCTTTCTCAGACTTAAACAAAATACTGGAAAAATGTCCCAGCAAAAGTAAAAAAACAGAGGTAGTGCTCTCTGAGCCCTCTGGTAGGAGGTCATCATAATTCCCTGACACTGGCTAAGTTCCTAGTAATAACTGCTTACAGCCAACCCCAGTCTCTTCCCACCCTCTAATCCAGGGGTCCTCAAACTTTTTAAACAGGGGGCCAGTTCACTGTCCCTTAGACAGTTGGAGGGCAGGACTGCAGCGCCCAGGACGAGTTGGCTACTAAGCAGGGCAGGCAGCGGTGGCAAAAATACTTGGCGGGCTGGATAAATGTCCTAGGCGGGCCACACGTGGCCTGTGGGCCATAGTTTGAGGACGCCTGCTCTAATCCCAGTAAACCAGGGGCTTCCTCCCACCCTCCTTGCCTGTTAGCAAACAGAAGAATAAATAACTGTGTGACACATTTGGATCAACTGATACGTAGCCATAAATCAGCTATCTAGTTCCTCTGCTTGCTTTGGATTTAATTGGCTTTTTTCTAGCTTCCTAGGGCAGAAGGTTAATTTGGTCATCCCATCAAAACAAATAAACACAAAAGCCTGTTAGAAATAATAAATGAATTCAGTAAAGTTGCCAGCTTCAAAATAAACACAAAAATACAGTTGTGGGCTCGGCCCCTGTAGCTCAGCAGCTAGGGCACCAGCCACATACAGCAGAGCTGGCAGGTTCGAATCCAGCCCGGGCCTGCCAAATAACAATGACAACTACAACCAAAAAATAGCAGGGTATTGTAGTGGGTGCCTGTAAACCCAGCTACTTGGGAGTCTGAGGCAAGAGAATTGCTTAAACCCAAGAGTTGGAAGTTGCTGAGAGCTATGACACCATAGCACTCTACACAGGGCGACAGCTTGAGACTCTGTCTCAGGAAAAAAAAAAAAAAATACAGTTGTGGCCAGATGCGGTGGCTCACACCTATAATCCCAGCTACTACTCAGGAGACTGAGCCAGGAGGATCACTTACGCCTGGGAGTTAGAGACTGAAGTGAGCTGTGATCAGGCCACTGCACCCCAGGCCTGGGAGGCAAAGCAAGAATCTCTCTCAAAAGCAAAGCAAACAAAAAGAATGAGCTCTGTTTGTATATGCTAATAACAAACCCTCCAAAAAGGAAATTAAGAAAACGATTTCAGACTCTGCACCCGTAGCTCAGCAGCTAGGGTGCCAGCTGCATACACCAGAGCTGGTGGGGTCGAACACAACTTTGGCCTGCCAAACAAACAACAACAATTATAACAAAAAAATAGCTGGACGTTGTGGCGGGTGCCTGTAGTCTCAGCTACTTGGGTGGCTGACGCAAAAGAATAGCTTAAGTCCAAGAGTTTGAGGTTGCTGTGAGCTGTGACATCACAGCACTCTACTGAGGGCGACATAACGAGACTCTGTTTCAAAAAAAAAAAAAAAAGAAAACAATTTCACTTACAATAATAACCAAAAGCATGTTCAGAATGGATCACTACTTAATGATAAATGTTCAATTTACAAGACAGAATTTTAAACATGATGTTCCCACAGTCTCTAAATATATTCAGCACAAACTAAAGCACCAGAAAAACTCAAGTAATCAAGAGTTTCCACATAGATCCATACTTATATGTTCTAGCTCAATCCAGTGGCCAGAGATTCCACATGGATCATGTGCTAGGGCACAGAGAAAGTCTCAAAATTAAGAAAAGAAAAAAGGTATCACCAGACCATCTTTGACAACATACTTAAGATAGAAGGCTTACACAAAAATATGAATAGTCACATAATTGTGGATAGAGAAAAACATTCTAATAATTCAAAGGGCTGAAGAAAAAGTTATAATGAAAATGTAAAAATTAGGATTTTTAAGATGGATTTTGGGGGGAAAAACAGAAAATGTAAAGATTCCAAAGACATAATGCTATAGCACACCTAGAAAACTGTTGGATGAGCAAACATGGTGCAAGGGAAGTTTATCAGGTACACACATCACAATATCAAAAAGACTTACTCATACTCTAGGAGGGTTTTCTCCAGCGCAGGCAAAACAATATCCAACTCCATGATGTCACTGGTTTTCTTTCCGTCTAGACACCAAATACGTACGACATCAGAAGTACCTAGAATATTAAGATAAATCAATTTAATATGCTGATTATTCATCATTTTGCTGTAGGTCCAGAGTTCAGTTTCCTCGATGGTAAATGGAATAAAACATTTTCTGGCTTTTATTTACAAAACTGTAATTACTGAACATTTGTAAGGTGCTATAGTCAATTTCTAAAGCAGGGTCAGACTTTCTGTGCAACATTGACACGAGCCACTGACAGCACAGTCCGCTCTTTTTCTGTAATTACCTTCTTACGTAATGCTGCAAAACTGATGCCCACACTCAGTTTGTCTCTGGAGTCCCACTGCCCTGAGTGACTCCTGGCTGTAGTAGGTTAATGACAGCTGCAGATTCTCTGCCACCTTCCCTAGTTCTCTTCCCCTTGAACCTGGGACAGACCCAGGACTGGCCTGAACAGCAGGACATGTGAGTGACACTGCAGCTTTCAGAGTCAGGGCTCAGAGATCTACAGCTGGGGCTGCTCTTCATATTCAAATGCTCCCTCATGGATGTCGCCTGTCACGTGAGATTCTGACTCCCACAGTACAGGACAGCCCAACCTTCAGGAAAAGAAGGGACCACAGGAGGGGCTGAAATGAGACCTATGACCAGGGATCTCAGACCTTCACCCCAGTGTAGCCGCAGATGAGCAGAACCCCCACAGTAAATAAGCTCGCGGTGGCTGTAAGTTGGGGCTGGCAACTTCTGCAGAGAGCTGGACGGTGAGTACTGCCAGCTCTGTGGGCAGTTGCACAGCCACAGTGTGTAAAGCAGTGCACCTGCCTGGGACCAATAAAACAAAAGACACAATATCTGAAGATACTTTTGTCCAAATAAAATCTTTCTTACGCTTTCAGGGCTAAGATTTTTTTTTCGTTTTTGGACAGTGGTGTCATTATACCTCTCTGCAACCTCACACTCCTAGGATCAAGTGATCCTTCTGCATCAGCCTCCCGAGTAGCTGGGACTATAGGCACCTGCCACCACACCCGGCTAATTTTCTATTTTTAGTGGAGACAGGGTCCCACTCTTGATCAGATCGGTCTCTCTATTTTTAGTGGAGACAGGGTCTCACTCTTGATCAGGTTGGTCTCAAACTCCTGACCTCACTTGATCCTCCTACCTCAGCCTCCGAGAGCACTAGGATTATAGGCATGAGCCACCATGCTTAGCTAAAATTTAATTAAGAACCCTTCTATCCAAACTCTCTACTCTTATTTATCATTTTTAATTTTGGTATAATTGATTTGTTATGAGTTGTTTTATGCACATGAGGACATTTGTGTGTGTGTGTGTGAGACCCTCCTGGGACCCCAGCATACTAACAAGACACTGAAGTACTCTGGGTACCCCCACTCAAATATATACCCTGCCAACCTTGTCAGCAACCACCATTTGGCATTTTGTGTTGATTCTTCTTTATTGTAACTGTACACACATAAATACGTTCTTAAATAGCAGGTTTTTTGTTTTCTTTTTTTTGACAGAGTCTCACTATGTCACCTTCAGTAGAGTGCTATGATGTCACAGCTCACAGCAAACTCCAACTCTTGGGTGTAAGCGATTCTCTTACCTCAGCCTCCCAAGTATCTGGGACTACAGGTGCTCGCCATAAGGCCCGGCTATTTTTTTTATTGTTGTTGCAGTAGTCATTGTTGTTTAGCAGGCCTGGGCCGGGTTCGAACCTGCCACCCTTGGTGCATGTGGCTGGCACCCTAAGCACTGTACTATGGGTGCTGAGCTGATAGCACAGTTTAGTTCTGCATGTTTGGCTTTCTGTATTTGTTAACCTACCAGCAGAGGTTTCCTCTGTGTTCCTTCCATCACATAACACACCACAACTCACCCCTGTCACCCTACTGGGATGGGATGTTTCTAGCACTGTGTGAGCACCACAGGTGATACTAAGGGAGCTCACACATGCTTCATGCACCTGTGCAAGAATTGCTCTAAAAAACACATCCACAGTGACTGCTGGGTTCCAAACTGCACATTTTCAACTTTGTAAGAGATGCCAATATGATTTTCAAAGTGCTTAGAACATTTATACCTACATTTGTTAAGGATCCCCACTTGGTAACATCTTCATTAAATTTAGAATCGAGAGACTTTATTTGCCATCTAGTACATGCAAAAGGTCTCACCCTAGCTATAGTTCAAGTTTCTGTGATTAGGAATAGACTCCCTCCAAATGTTTATTTTACCATTTCCTCTACTCTAAAAATATGCTGGTGTCATTTGCCTATTTTTCTATGAGGGTGTCTTTTTATTAACATTCCTATATTTCGAGGGTGGGCACCAAGGCTTATGTCTGTACTCCCAGCATTCTGGGAGGCTGAGGTAGGTGAGTTGTCTGAGCTCAGGAGTTAGAGCCTGAGCCAGAGCAAGACAACATCTCTTAAAAAATAGCCACGTGTGGCTCAGTGCCTGTAGCTCAGCAGCTAGAGCATCAGCCACATACACTAGAGTGGGCAGGTTTGAATCCAGCCTGGACCTGCCAAACAACAACAACTACAACAACAACAACAAAAAAAACAGCTGGGTATTGTGGCGGGTGCCTGTAGTCCCAGCTACTTGGGAGGCTGAGACAAGAGAATTGCTTGAGCCCAGGAGTTTGAGGTTGCTGTGAGCTGTGAGGCCACAGCACTCTACCCAGGGCAACAGCTTGAGACTCTGTCTCCAAAAAAAAAGAGGGTGTTGTGGCAGGTACCTCATTTATAAAAGTACCTGGACCTGAAGAGTTTTTTGTTAGTTTTTATAGGAAGATTTTTGATTACTGATTAAATTGGATAGTTAAGAGGATTGTTCTAGTTTTCCCTAAAAGCCAGCTTGTTAGCCTTGTGTTTTTCTACATATTTATATGCTGCAAGTCAGGGGTAGAGGGGAGATGTCTCCTTTGCACATATTTTTTGAGGGCCCTGGATTTTTTTTTTAAATTTCTTTTTGACACAAAATCATTGAACATATTTATGGGGTAGAGTGTGATGTTTTGATACATGTATGTACTGTGTAGAAATCATATCCAGGTATTCAGCATGTCCATCACCTCATAATTCATCATTTCTTCTTGGTGAGAACATTCAAAATCCTCTCTTCGGGCTACAGGTAGCCCCCAGGTTTCAAACCAGATAGATTCTGTAGGTTTGTTCCTAAGTTGAATTTGTATGTAGGTTCGAACAGGTACATTTACTCATTACCTGTGATAACCTCCGTTCATAAGTGCGAGTTGTACCTAAGTCCAATGTTAGTAATTTAGGGACTGCCTATATCTGCCTTTAACCAGAGCCACCTTGCTGTACAGCAGAATACCTGAAACCCCACCTGCTGATATTAACTTGGTGTTACTGACCAGCTTCTTCCTGCCCCTCTACCCCCTTGCCTATTTTAAAGTTACTCATATGGAGTTGTTCACTGTATTCTTAGTAACACTTTAAACTGTACATCTTCTGGTGGGAATAGAAAATTATGTAACCACCTTGGGAACGCAGCTTTCAAAGCTTGGCAGTTTTTTGTAAAATTCAACATATGCCTACTCTATGACTCAGCAGCTTCACTCCTTTTTAAGAGAAATGAAAACATATGTTCACAAAGACATGTGTATAATAAGCATGTTCACAGCAGCCTTATGCATAATAGACAAATCCCAAAAACAACTCAGTTGCCCATCAGTAAGGGATGGGATGAAATGTGTTGTAATCAAACAAAAGGATTTAAAAACACACACACACACACGCACACACACAAAACATAGATAAACCTCCCCCCCAAATTATGCTGAGTAAAAGAAGCCTTATACAAGAGTACATACTATGATCCCTTTGATAGGAAGTGGATAAAAATAAGTATATATTATGGGATTCCATTTATATAAAATTCCAGAATAAACAAAACTAATCTATAGTGGATAGAACAGCTGAAGCAGTTGCCTGAGGAGGTGGGATGGGGACTGACAGGAAAGAGATGTGATAGAACTTTCTGGAATCAAATGTTTATCTATTGATCATGATTTGACTTACATGTTAAGGCTAAAAGTTGCTGAAAGTCAGGACAATGGTGCCTCCATCTTATGTACCCCCCCCCTTCTCGCCCACCACCAAGTTAGCCCCCAGTGGAAACTTCCACTGAGCACCTGAAGCCACCTGGGCTGTGTGAACTCAACCACATGAACCGCCATGCTCCATTTCTATGAAATACCTTGCTTGCAAAAACCGCTCATCTTCGCTTCTGTAAACCAGCTTGCTTCACTTGGTTAACATCTGAGGCGTCCAGATGCCATGGGCTCAAGCCCCCCTCAAGCCTCCCTCTGTGCCTATACCCCTTAAAAACCCCACCATTTAACTGGCTGCTGCTCCGTATGGGGCAGCCAGTCGATTGATCTACAAAGGACTGTATTATCTTTTAAATCTCATCTAAAGTGCTCCTTTCCTCAGTGGCTCAAAGATTTTATGTCTAACATACACAGGTGTGGCATACACTTTAAGGTTGGGCATTTCCCTGTGCTGTATGTACAGTCTACATTTAAAAGAAAACAGCATCAACAAAAATTGAACTCCAGTGAATTGTGTGCATGCTGAAGTATTTCAGAAGTACTGATGTCTAACTGATTTTAAAATGCATTAAAAAATTAAATCAGATGAAGGGATAGACAACAAAGGAAGTATACAAAAATGTTAACTAAAAAAAAAAAAAGAAAATGTTAACTATAAAATCTTAGTGGTAGGTGAATATATACTAAAATACATTTTTAGCTTTGCTGTATGTTGAAAATTTTTCACAATAAATGTTAGAAAAAAGGTTACTCCAAATCATATATTCTTAATTTTTATTTTTATTTTTATTTTTTGAGACAGAGCCTCAAGCTGTCCCCCTGGGTAGAGTGCCGTGGTATAGCTCACAGCAACCTCCAAATCCTGGGCTCAAGTGAGTCTCCTGCTTCTGTCTCCCAAGTTGCTGGGACCACAGGCGCCCACCACAATGCTTGGCTATTTTTTTTCAGTTGCAGCCATCATTGTTGTTTGGCAGGCCCAGGATGGATTCGAACCTGCCACCTTAGGTGTATGTGGCTGGCGCCTTAGCCACTTGAGCCACAGGCGCCGAGCCCCTTAATTTTTTAAAAGATGCAATTTTATGTATTTATAATTTACTACTTTAACAAATTAAAAATGAAATTTTTTTCTTCCCATAAAATTTTTGAATGAGTGACAAAGTACACAACACCATCTGTACCTGCGTCTGTAGCTTCACTTCTTGGCCTCTCCCTTTTACCATAAGACATCTTCCCTTTTTCCTGAGTTTTCTACAAGAAAAAACATGGCATAGGTCTTAATATTTAAGTGTTCTTTCTCTTTTTTTTTTTTTTTTTTGAGACAGAGCCTCAAGCTGTCCCCCTGAGTAGAGTGCCGTGGCATCACAGCTCACAGCAACCTCCAACTCCTGGGCTCAAGCGAGTCTCCTGCCTCCGCCTCCCAAGTAGCTGGGACCACAGGCGCCCGCCACAACGCCCGGCTATTTTTTGGTTGCAGCCGTCATTGTTGTTTGGCGGGTCCAGGCTGGGGATTCGAACCCGCCACCTTAGGTGTACGTGGCTGGCGCCCCAGCCGGTTGAGCCACAGGCGCTGAGCCAAGTGTTCTTTCTCTTAAAATGTGGGGATTAAGACTGTGTTCTCAAACACTATCATTTGCTACTTAGCTACTATTCCTATTTCGTTCTAAATTAATATATATTAGCTATATAAATTATCAAAATTAATGTAAGGAAACATACCAATTAAGTAAAACCACCACAAAACAAAAGAAAATAACACGTTCAGCAGATTACAAAAATCATTGCCTTGAAGGTACTTGAGACAGCAGTGCATACAAGCAGCTCATATTTCTGCTCCAGCTGCAGTGAAGCTGCGGGCTCTGCACCTGCCCCCCTCAACAAGAGCCACTATAAGGTGGGGGTGGGGAACAGCACCTCTATTTAGGCAACACGAGATGAAGTCCCCTACATAAGGGCAACTGTGGGTGAGCCCCAGGAATTCCACTTCCCCATACACAAATTCAAGCTAAAGTCCTCGAAGAGCACAGGACCTCCTTAGCTGAGGGGTTACCTGCACCATGCACGTGCAGACAGAAGAGGCTGCGAGGCTGGAGGGAAAACTAGCCCTCACGCCTGGCTACTGGGCAGAAGGACCACACTGAGATGCCACCTCAGGTCAATACTGGTCCTAAGAGGGCAACAGTTGATTTTAGGGTGGGATATTAAAAAAAAAAGCTAATAAACTAGTTATGACCTTGCACCTGGCTGGCCCTAGTGCACATAGGCACTGCATACCTGTATAGTTACAGTGTAACTGTGTTTGAGAAAGGGGGAAGAACAGCGGGGGTGCTGGGTGTCTGGGTCCTTCCTAAGGAGGCAAGAATGAAAACGGGTCCAAAAATACCTTGTGAACTAAAAATCCTGAATGGATCCCTCTTGGCCAAGGGTACCCCACAGAAACATTAAAACTGACCTCTTGGCTTGGCGCCTATGGCTCAAGTGGCTAAGGTGCCAGCCACATACACCTAAGGTGGCGGGTTCAAATCCAGCCCCAGCCCGCCAAATAACAATGATGGCTGCAACCAAAAAAATAGCCAGGCGTTGTGGCGGGCGCCTGTGGTCCCAGCTACTTGGGAGGCGGAGGCAGGAGACTCGCTTGAGCCCAGGAGTTGGAGGTTGCTGTGAGCTGTGATGCCACAGCACTCTACCCAGGGGGATAGTTTGAGGCTCTGTCTCAAAAAAAAAAACAAAAAAAAAAAACAAAACTGACCTCTTGGGGGCGGCACCTGTGGCTCAGTGAGTAGGGCACCAGCCCCATATACCAAGGGTGGTTGGTTCAAACCCGACCCTGGCCAAACTGCAACAAAAAAATAGCCGGGCATATGGCCGGCACCTGTAGTCCCAGCTCTCAGAGTCTGAGGCAAGAGAATCGCCTAAGCCCAGGGGTTGGAGGTTGCTGTGAGCTGTGTGATGCCATGGTACTCTACCAAGGGTGATAAAGTAAGACTCTGTATCTACAAAACAAAACAAAACAAAACAAAAAAAACTGACCTCTTGGCCACAAAAGGAAGGGAGACTGGATGCCTGGGACAGTAAGACACTAAATTATAAGCAGACCCAAGGCCACACAGAGCAAAGGTTAGCGCACCTGCAGGCAGCCTATTTGTTTTACAGATCACTTGAGTCAATTTACTGGGGCTTATCTCCAATTAACTGGCTTCCTTATCCTCATTTCATTAGTCAATTACAAAACAAAGAATTTTTAACCCCCTCCCCCATAACCTGTAAACTCCTGCTTCAAGATTTTCTGCTTATTCAGGCTAATACAATGTCTGCCTTCCATTAACTGATTTGTGACTTTACCTGCAATTCTGTTTCTCTACAGCGTATAAAACCAAACTGTAACCCACCATGGCAAGCCCACTAACTCAAGACTTCGTGGGTGTGACTCTCCCAGCCATGGTCATACATATGTGGCTCAGAATAAAATTCTAAGTTATTTTTCAGAGTTTGGGTTTTTTTCTGCTAATATTGCCCCAGAGTAGGGCCTACTCTAGATATGCTATAAACAAAGCCTAAAACCCATCACTGACCAGATCCATCACTGAGACGGACTGGGGACTGTGCTAAACAGAATCTGAGATGACGTGCCTAATTCCCTGCCAGGGAGTGTGGTGGCACCTGTGATGGGACGGCTGCCCCCCTTGATTACAATCTACACCTATGACTTCAGATGGGGGAGAATGCCCAGCAGGCATCTGTGAGCTCCCACACTGTACAGGGGCCATGTGACTGGGACAGGAGGGCAGCCTGCAGGAGCAGAGGACAACCTCAGCTCACACCCAGAGAGAAAACAGGATCAGTCCACAGAGCAAGGAACTAAATTCTACTAACAACCCAAAACAGATTCAGTGATCTTAGGGGGGGCACCCTGAGTCTCAGATGAGATTTCTGCTTGTGAGATGCTGAGCAGAGAATCCAGCTAAGCTGAGCCTGGACTTCTAACCTCAGAAACTGAGATAATAAATGTGTGATGTCAGGCACCCAACTGTGTGCTGACTGGTTATGCAGCAATGGAAACTAAACGGAGGTGAGTCCCACTGAGTGAGAAAGGTTTAGAAAACACCTTAAGCTACCCACAGACTGACCTGCCAAAGGATAAAACCAAGCGTGAACTTGAAGATAGTCAGTAATTAAGCTACAAACTAGAATGAAAGTCAGCATTATTCACAAGAAGAATTCAGATTTTAAACAACCCATCAACAACAATGTTCACTACATAAAGATGTCACACAGAGCTGGGGTGGGGTGGCTCACACCTGTAGTCCCAACACTCTGAGAGGCTGAAGTAGGAGGATTCCTTGAGCTTGGAAGTTTGAGACCAGCCTGAACACCCTGAACAAGACTGGGACCCCATCTCTACTAACAATAGAAAAACTAGTTGGTTGTAGGGGTGAGCACTTGTAGGGCCAGCTACTTGGGAGGCTGAGATAAGAGGATCGCTCAAGCCTAAGAGTTTGAGGTTATTGTGAGCTATGATGCTACAGCACTCTAACCAGGGTGATGGAGTGAGACTCAAAACAAAACAAAACAAAACAACAATCAAAACAAAAAACTTTAGAAAAAAGACTGAAGAGTATAGAACCAAAAACATGGTGGTAATTTTAGGGTTATAGAATTTAAAGGTGATTTTATCTTCCTTTCTATACCATCTAGACTTTCTAAAACAGGCGTACTCAAACTACGGCCCACGGGCCACATGCAGCCCACCTACGACATTTATCCAGCCTGCTGGGTGTTTTTGCCACCTCTGCCTATCCTGCTTAGCAACTGAATCGTCCCAGGGCCGCAGTCTGGCCCTCCAACGGTCTGAGGGACAGTGAATTGGCCCCCTGTTTAAAAAGTTTGAGGACCCCTGTTCTAAAATAATCATAAGTTTTATTATATTAAATGTATTTTTGTTATGTTAAGAAAAATATAAAATTTATCTGTTAAAGGATTAAAAAAACAATTTTTAATAAACTTTTTCTCTATTCAAGGGAATGGCAGACACCTGTTTACCTGATGACTTTCTGTTGCCAGTGTCTCTCTTTCAGCAGGGGGCTGGGCACTAAGGTGTCCTGTCTGTATAGAAGGGACTGATTCCACTGGTTTCTCTGGAGATTCTGAAGATGCTGCAGTTGGAAGAGCTTCATGTTGCTGTGTGCTTGTTTTCCCTGCTGATTTAACTTTTCTTCTTATCTCATTTTCTTCAGCGCTTTCTGACTCATCCCTGATGGGCCTGAATTTTCTTCTAGACTATGTGAAGAGCATAGCATTACTGGTCTAGGAAATGAGAACACTTGTAATTCTTACTACAATAGTAGAAAACTGTGAAGTCCATACTTACTTCTAAACTCAAAGATGAACATTATAGGAAGTTGGCGACATAATTAGTGGCTCCATATAAACGTTCCTAAGAATTCGCTCCACCTTAGTGAACCACACCCTACAGATGTTCCACGAATGCTACGAAAACTGACAAAGTGCACCGAGATTTGAGACCCCTTTGATGAAAAACACTTCACCTAAAATAGCAGTTCTCAACATGTGGATTGTGACCCCTGTGGGGGTCTACTGACCCTTTCATAGGGTCGCCTAAGAAAAACCCATTGGAACACACATCCTGCATATCAGATATTTACATTATGATTCAAAATTACAGTTATGGTCTCGGCGCCTGTGGCTCAAGCGGCTAAAGCGCCAGCCACATACACCTAAGGTGGCGGG